ACGTCAAGCTGGGTAAGAAAGAAAACCATTTGCTTATTTCCCCATGCCCTTCTTGAACGGTAGCATGAATAAATGCTTCGATCACAGCTGCAGAGAGTTTTCACCAAACTGCCATGCCAGTCCTTGCTCCTGTGCATTGAGACCTTGAGGGCCACACTGTGACCTTTGAGCATGCTATGTCCCTACTAAGCCCCTTTGGCGGGAGTCCACACTAAGTGGTTACCAGATCTGCACTAGACTTCCAGTATGGTGGCATTAAAAGCAAGTGATCATCACAGACTGTCAGTCATCTCTTTGAAGGAGGCTCACACACACACAGGCTCTTCTCCAACTCAGGAATCTAGTGCAGACCAGAAGAACTGATACTGTAGCAGCAGCTGCCCACACAGCCTATATGGCTGTGAGGACAGCCTTCATCTGAGCAATGCATAATGTTTCTCTACCTACCTGATCAGAGTCTAACTAATTGCTCTCACCCTCACCTCTCCCCTATTTCTGCCTTGAATTTTCTCTTCTGAGATAGGACTTCCAGACCCAGCATCCATTCCCTGTTCTATGAAGGTACACCCTGGGCTTTCTCACTGGAAACCACAGTAGACACATTTCAGTCTTCATCCGAGGGGAACCTCGTGTGGCATATGGACAGGTTTTTGTCTTTGTGAAATGATCTCCTCCCTGGTGTAAATTTCTCCTGCTCTTCCTGCTGCTTTGTATACAGACATTCAAATCAAATAACAGTCCCCCCCCCAAAAAAAAGAAGAACATCAAATAAATAAACCCAGCTTGTGTAATTAGCAGCAGCAGCTCTGAGATGCTACTCATCCAAAATAGGTCATTATCCATGGATGAAATAAAACGTGTTGATGTGTGAAGATGCAAAGCTCAGGACTGTTCACTATCATCCTGCTTAGCTGAATTGATAGTATTATTATATGATATCATAGTAGGGTTAGAGATATTTCATGCACACTTGATAGTGCTCTGAGAGGTCTATAAGCATGCTTTCTTTTCTTTTCTTTTCTTTTGTCAGTCGTGGGGCTTTTGAACTCTGGGCCTGGGCGCTGTCCCTCAGCTCTTCATCTCAAGGCTAGTGTTCTACCACTTAAGCCACAGTGCCACTTCCGGCCTTTGCTGTTTATGTGGTGCCAAGGAATTGAACCCAGGGCGTCATTTATGTGAGGCTAGCACTCTACCATATAGCCACCTTCCCAGCCCTCTTTTCTTTTCTTTTTCCTTCTTTGGTTCAGGTCCTGGGGCTTGAACTCAGGGTCTGGGCACTGTCCCTGAGCTTTTTTGTTCAAGGCAAGTGCTCTACCACTTGAGCCAGAGCCCTGCTTCCAGCTTTTTGGTGAATAACTGGAGATAAGAGTCTCAGGGACTTTCCTACCTGGACTGGCTTCAAACTGGGGTCCTCAGCTCTCAGGCTCTTGAGTAGATAGGATTGTAGGCATGAACTACCAGTGGCAAGCTAGCTTACTTATTTTTCATCATTAATGTGACTGTGTCCTTAATAGTCTTTTCCTATATTACTTTTTAAGTATTCCGATTCCATTGAAGACATTTATGCAACAATGTATCTTTTGTGTCATGGCCAGTTACCTATCTGACCTGTTAGATACTAGATTCTCTGAAAAGATAAAGGATTATGTTTTTATTTATCTTGATGAACCTTGTAGAATCTTGTATGTAGCAACTTTTCAAGCAGTTATGTGGAATTGTTAGACAGCTTCTCAAGCATAATCAGGAGGTAAAAATTCTTTTACAGTAGCAAATTTCCTGTTAACTACGTGATTTTCACTTAAAATTGCAGCATCCCTTTTTTTTGACTAGCCATATTATATTGCAGATTTTTTAAATAACTCACAAGATATAAATCAGAGCCAGATGTAAAAATTGTATGGCCTTACTTGTGATGATTTTTCGCGTTTATATAACAACTGAGTTACATAATCACAGATTCGACAGCAATATTTTCTCCTAGTTACAATATTTCCCCAGCTATCTTGGCAAATAAATAAGATGTGCACATCTGAGCAGCAATGAATAATAAGAGAGCACATTAACATCAAACACAACTTGTAAAAGAATCTAAGTTTTTTTTCCCAAGGAACTGAAACTGACTGTTCTTTTCACCGCATTGAAAAGATGCCATTTATTTCTGACTATGATTAATGGGTCTTTTAGGTGGCCAACTTTCCCTGACATTTAACAAAGATTGCATGCTTGGCTTTTTGTCTTATTTCAGCCCTGGAGTCATTTGTAACTGAGCAATCAGATAATGAAATGCTGCCTTTTGAAGTATGGTTTTGTTTTATTAGTGTAAATCCTTCACTGTGGTGCTGGAAGTGGGAACAAATATAAATTTCATCAGAAGGTTGTCTCTCTACATCCTATGAACGCCGTGTCAGCAGGAGAATCACAACATGAATGCCTTGTCCTGCCAGCCACATGATGTCAAAAAAAATATCAGCAATATCTAAAGAAATGAACCAAACCAGGGATTGATCCCAGGGAGCAGGAAGATTATTTTGATATGCGTGGCTCATGGTTATCATTTTTATAGCAAAAAAAGTCTTAGAATTACTTTTAGTGTGGTGATAAATAAAAGTAGAAAAAGGAAAAGTAAAGGGACCAACTGTCATTTTTCAAAGCGGTCCCTTCAAATCCAGCCATGCATTGCCAGGTGTGATCAGAGAGCAAATCCCAAGGAAGTAATAAATGAGATGTGAACACATGCATTAAGGAAAGTTTGTTTGTTGGTTTTTTCTCCCATCCAGCTACATACGTGTTGAATAGGAAAGAGGAGAAAGAGTCCTGGGTTTCCAGGGTTTTTTTAATAGCAAATGTTTTATTGTAATTAAGTATTGTGAAATAGTGATGTTTAAAGTCACAAACACATTCTAACCTTCATGGGGCAAATTGTCTTTATCGTGGTCTATAAGGTTCGTGAATTCTATGAGCTTTGACAATACAGTTATTTCTTCCATATCAGGTGACATGTACATTTCTTTCTTTTTGCTTAGTGTCAGTTGTTCCCTCTTTCCCGCTCAGGTTTTAAGGAGGTCTAAGTAAGATTTGAAAAGATAATCACTGGCATGCCTTACTTGAAGGAGACTGAGTGAAGCAACAGGTATACCAGAATCATTACATAGTAATTAACACCTTCTCTCACTTCCTCTTTAGAGAATATATCTGTTCAGGAATAAATGAATCCTAACTGCCACAGTGTTTCTCTTTTTGGCTGGCTTTCAAATATGAGCCCATCATTAGTTTTATCAGTTGACATTACCTGAACATCATATTGGAAACTCACATGTAAAAAACATACCTCAAAAAACCAACCTCCATGATCTGAGACTCACACATGATACAGAACGTCAAAAAGGCATGCTTTTTATCTTGCAAGCAATGAGTATTCCTCTCAGATCTTCACTTCTAATCTGCAAGGCTCAATTCTCACTTCAGAAAGTTAAGAAAGAGAAGCAATGGATGCACCTACACCATGAACTCAAAGAAGCACTAGACTGCCTTGAAGAGGACTAGGATATTTTTATTTATGTTAAGCCATAAACTGAAAAACAATCACTGGCTAGTAGACTCTGATCCTAACCAGTCCTTATATGAAGTCTATTTATAGATTAGAGTACTCCCCCCCCCCTTGGTCTCTCATATGATTATTCAAAACAGAAACTAGAGTAAGCAGGAAGTTACTATGACACTGTTGGCCTTGGCATGAAGATATACACAGGGCTGAGATCACAGACTCACAGCTCCTTCATAACCCAGGTTCTTGGACTGGATGATTCACCTTCCACCAAGTCCAGCAAAGCTAAAGAACATTCCCTCCTCCCACTCCCAGCTCCAGCAGCCTCTCCACCTTTACCATCCAATTCTAGAGGCTCTGGTATTTTCTTTGCCCCATACAGTAAATTTTAACCAAACCTTTCCTTAAGGGCACCACAGTCCCTCAATTGGTAGTATCAGAGGGAGAAGAAGAGGGAGAGGAAGAAGGAGAAAAAGAGGGAGAGGGAGAGGAAGAGGGAGAAGGAGAGAGAGAGAGAGAGAGAGAAAGAGAGAATGTACCAGGGTTGGACTCAGGGTCTGGACATTATCTCTGAGCTTTTCTTCACAAGGCTAGCATGCTCTACCACTTGACCCATAGCTCCACTTTTGACTTTTTGGTAGTTAATTGGAGATAAGAGCCTCATGGGCTTTCCTGCCCAGGCTGGCTTTAAATCTCAAGCCTCAGATCTCAGGCTCTTGAGCAGCTAGGACTACAGATGCAATCCACGAGGGCTCAGCCATCAATACGACTAAAACTAAGTTACCTTTTTATTTAAATGGCTGTCTCTATGACCAGGCTATTGTCTCTCACTTAGTGATTACCAGCTCACTACCAACATCTATCATCCTCCTGCAAGGAAAGGAAGAGCTTAATAGCACTTCTGCAGAACACATCTGCCCACATTATCAAATGAGACCGCAAGGATAATGGCCTCCAATAAATACCATTGTGCTCTTTCTTTGACATCTTCTCTTCCATAGTTGAAGCCAAAAATGTTGTTACCACTTCAAGGAGAAGATCAAAGCAGTTATTCAAAAATGAATTCTGACGACAGGGTAGAATAACAAAAAGGGTTTATGGAATCGATGTTAACTACAGGTGGTGGTAGATTTGGGTTTTAGTTTATCTCATCAAATCATAATGGTAATAATGTCCAGAGCAATGGCATGCTCTCCGGTGGAGTGATTTTTGAGAGCTTACCCAAGGTAGGGTGATGCTACTTCATTCAATCAATAGCTTAAGAGATTATGTTGCTCTCAGTAAAGAAAGCGAGAGAAAGTTATTCTGAAATAATCACTCCCCTTTTCGAGTGTCTAAGCAATCAGAGTGTATTTTCGAGCCTAAAAAATATTGATGGAGTCTCAGTGCCTGCATTGAGTCACTACAGAGGAAGAAAAGCATGTTTTAATAACTCTCCTTCCTCCCCTCCCCCCAGGATACTCCATACTTCAAGCTATTATGGAAAAAGCAGGACAAAATGGTTGGCATGTCAGCGCTATATGTGTGGAAAATTTTAATGATGTCAGCTATCGACAGCTTCTAGAAGAACTTGACAGAAGACAAGAGAAGAAATTTGTAATAGACTGTGAGATAGAGAGGCTTCAAAACATATTAGAACAGGTAAGTCCTAGATTTCTATCTTGCAAGGAAGTCCTGGATTTCTCTCTCCATGTGGCTTCTATGCCTTATATCCAAATGGTGACCTGGGCCCAGTTTGTCTTCGTGACTGTCCATCTCCCAACTTTTTAGTTTGTGAATATGAGGGAGGTTTGGGAGTGTTCCTTGATTTAGCTTCAGGACCAAATCATAATTCCTCATAACCAAAGGCCACTTTGGTTCTGCGGACCCAGAGAATTTGGGAGCATTGCCTGTCCTACAATATGAAGACCTGATTAACGGGCAGGTCGTTGGTGAGTCATGAGGACCTTTTAGCTTTCTGTTTTCAGAAATGCTAATTTTGAACATTAATGCCATCAGGATAGCAGGATTTTTTTTTAAAAATGTGTGCTGTTTAGAATCCTTTAGAGAATTAGCTGCAGGAGAAATGGCAATGTAAATTAGCAAAGCCATGGAATGAAAGAGAATTATGTGGAATACTGTGGGTAGTTTACTTCTTTCCTGGTAGAGGTGGTAAGTATATTATCCAACCACCAATAAAGATGATTTTCAACTCTCCTTGCAAAGGAAGATTCTTTTCATCAAGCTTCCAATAAATAGTTCTTGATTTGATTTGAAGTAGGCAGGAAAAGATAAAACTGAGCTTGTCATTGTGTTAAATGATGATAGGAAAATATCACCCTGTAATGGATAACATTTGCCTTTGTCCTAACCCCGCAGATTACGATAAAGCAGGGAGGCGATCTTCAGCCAAAATTGTAGTGAATGTATGCCATCTAGTGGCTGTACATGTGCTTGCTTATTATAGTCCCCTACACTGCTCTGGGTTGTCTAGACAATAGAGTTGACGTGCTTTAAGGTTAGTGACATCACATCGTTTCACTAGGTAATAACACGATCACATTTGTAGTAGTAAATCCGCTAATTTAGAGGTTGATTTCTAAGAGTCTCTGCAGTACTCAGTTAGAAAATTAAATCCAAAATATGTTTCAGAAATTCCTCTTCCATACCTTACACCTCTATAGGAGAACTGATGGAAAGCTATCGTGACAATAACATATATGGCAACTCCTCAGCACAGTTACTTAGAAATAAAAAAATATTCAAAAAATGTATACTGCCTGTCCAAGGCATAAACCTAGACTCTAAGAGAAGCTGACCAATTACTTCTTATTCAATCTTCTTAGAAGAAAAAGCCAAAACTCAAAACACTTCACTGAAGCAATAGGGACGTGCTGTTTTGAGATTAGTTATAAGCCTATCCATCATTCAAGTTTATTCCAGAGAGAGTCTGGAGAGTCATTAAGGTGGTAGTTATTCAAGATAGATGAAGACATTAATGAACTCTGGGAGAATCTCATGAAGAACCTTCTTCCTGACTTTCTTAAGCAGTATAGTCTCTCCAGCACCCATTCCCTCTTCCTCCCACTGTCACCCTTGTGTTGAACACTGGAGTTGTTTGACCTGAACAATTGAAGCTTTATAAATAGCTCGGGATGCCTCCCACTGAGCAGCCAGTTCTACCCACTGCCTGGATTGCCAAATTCCTGTCCAAGGCTGAGGAAGCTCAGAAATCCTCTCCACTTAGCACCTATGCTTACAAGAGCAAATCTGGAGGAGGCAATTGAGTGCCCAAACCACACTGACCCATTTCAGAAGCTTATCTGATTTCTAAGAAGAAAATGAGCACACTGCAGTGTTTTGGATCAACTCTGAATAAGCCTTAAATGAGCTCCTGCTAAGGAAACTGGACATTGTGTAGGGGAGGTTTTGGTTTTGGTTTTGTCCTTTTGAAAAATTTAGAAAACTTGAGTGTCTACGTTTCTTAAGGCTTTTGACTAAATTCTAAAAGGTGGCTTTTTACAAAAAAGAAAAAGAAAAGAAAATGGCTGCATAGAAAAAAGAATGATAATAGACCCTTGTCCTTTTAAGCATTTCTCAGGTAGATATCGCAAAAATGGTAACAGTCCATAGTATTATAGGAAACCAGTGTGCTTTTAATTGTCTATTCCCCCTACTCAAGAAAAGCTTTGCTTCTAAACATGATTGTCTTTGTTATCTGTATTTCAATTCCTCATAGCTCTAATCAAAATCACTTCTCAGGTTTATTCTTGACTCAATCAAACACAAGAGCTAACTCCAACTTTGTCTTAAACTTAGACATGACTATGTTTCAGCATATCCCTGTGTTTCAAAATTCCTTAGTAAACAATGCAGAGCAATTTCAGAGAATCAACCAAAGCAATTTTTTTAAGTCCTTACCAGAAGCTGGGAACAGAAAGCAAGAGAGGGAGATGGGAGAGATCGGTTCATAGACATAAAGTCACAGATAAAAGACAGAAGGTCCTGGTGTTCTTCTAGCCCACAGAAGGGTGATGATAAGTTAACAATATTGGGTTTTATGTTTCAAAGTAGAAGAGAAGTTTTAATTTCCTCATTCCAAAAGAAATAAGTTTTTGAGAGAATGACTAACTTAAATATCTGAAGTTAATATAACATGTGCACCTACCAAAACAATCACCCTTTACTTAAAGATGCACAGTTCTGTCAATAAAAAAAAACATTGTTTTGATGAAATTTCGAAAGTAAATAATGTTGATTGGGGGGAAAAAGCACCTTCGAAACAGGAGGCCTCTCTCCAAACAATGCAAATCAATGCAATGAATATGGAGGGATTCCTAATACAATTTCTAGGAGCACACGCCATATTGTGGTAGCATGCTGTCAGTAATTACTTCCTTGACATTTTAATTTGCATCAGTTTGCAAATTGCTAAAACATAATGGAAATATCCCACACTGTATTCTTTCAAAATATATAATGGACAGCTACGGTTAGAGGAGCATTTCATCTTCTGTATGCTTTCCAATTCTTATGCCATGAACTAATTAGTTCCCATAAATATGTTGCTATTTAAAACTGTAAATAGCCCTATACTCATTCAAACATTTCAAAACATGAACATCGGAATGTTAAGTTTAGGTTTGAGGATGGATGACTCTGGCTCAATCTTTGTATGTTGAGCTATAGTTGAACTTAGTTAAGTAGCCGAGTTACCAGTCATAGCCAATCTCAAGTAGCCTGGCCAATAAGGTAAAACAACAGACTGGGTAAGAAACTCCTTAAATCACTTAACTTCCACTTCCTGTACTTGTGAAGACTAACTGATCTTTAAAAAAAAAAGTAAATTAAGATATACAAATTTTTCATAATTTTGCTTTGGGGCAAGAATATTTAAAGATGTAACCTTAGACATTTTGGTTTTCTACTCTAAATGAAATAACAGAGAAATGGAAGAATTTATATAAAATAACACTCACCGTACTAGACTTAAAACTACAAAGTTAGCTTTAGCATTATCTGATTTATGTCAACTCCAATCAAACAAGCTCTCTTTTTAGCTCTCTAAATGGGTAAAATGATCCTTTAATCTACAGAAAATAAGGAAACTCTAAAAAGAAACTTGAAAGTTTTTTACATGTTTCCCGAATCTATGGTTTTCATTAGCATCTCCAGTTTTACTCAAACTAATATTATGAGTTTAGCTAAAAGATATTCTAAATTCCACTTTGGACACTAGCTTCATTCTCCTCACCTAATTTTTCCCCTTTAAATAAACAAGGTTATTTTGAACAATAGCTATTATGTGATCAAATGAAGTGTTTTCATAGCAAAACAAGTGGTTTCTAGGGAGAACATTCTATATATTTTATTTTTCACATATCTATTATATTAAGTCCTGAACTCAATACTTGCAGTCCACAGGACGTCTACCTAAGGTCTAATCAATTGAATAGTCAAGTATCAGACTTGAAACTCATGTTTAGCCAAGTAGCAAAAGTAGCAATAACAAACTTGACCTTTTTTTTTTTTTGGTCAGTTGTGAGGCTTGAACTCTGGGCCTGGGGGCTGTCCCTGAGCTCTTCAACTCAAGGCTAGTGCTCTACCACTTTAAGTCACAGCTCCACTTCCGGTTTTCTTTCTTTTTTTTTAATTGTGAAAATACTGTACAGAGGGGTTATAATTACACAGGCAAGGTATTGAGTACAGTTCTTATCAAGCATTGTTGCCTCCTCCTTGGTTTCCAGTTTTCCGATGATTAGTTAGAGATAAGAATCTCAGGGATATGGACAGAAGGGAACCTTACTGGTGGGAGTGTAAACTTGTTCAACCACTTTGGAAAGTAGTATGGAGGTTCCTCAAAAGACTCCACATAGAGCTCCCCTATGACCCAGCAATCCCACTTTTGGGCATTTACCCTAATGTTTACAAACAAGACCACACTAAAGCTACCAGCATAACTATGTTTATTGCAGCATTATTTACCATAGCTAAGATATGGAACCAACCCAGATGCCCCTCAGTAGATGAATGGATCAAGAAAATGTGATATATATACACAATGGAATTCTATGCCTCCATCAGAAAGAATGACATTGCAACATTTGTGAGGAAATGGAAAGATTTGGAAAAAATTATATTAAGTGAAGTAAGCCAAGCCCAAAGAAACATAGGTCCCATGGTTTCCTTTATTTGCAATATCTAGTATATGTATGAGTCAAGCAGAAAAGGTCAGATAAGGTGATGTTAGGAAAATGAACCCTTAGATATGTATTTAAATGTTTTTTTCTTTACTGCATTTGTTTCTAACACATTTATAAGATTATTTCTTTGTTGCTTTGTATGTCCCTCCCCCACAGTATAAAACCCCTGCTTTCACTGTATTTGATGTCGGTATAATTTGTGGAGGGGAAGGGGAAAAACAAGTTGTTTAAATAAGGATACAGGTGGACCCGTTACAACAATGATAAGTACAAGTTGTCATGTCGAAAACGAACTTTACAACTTTGGGGGGGGGGAGGGAGATTGAGTGGGGGGTTGGGAGGAGGCTGGGAAGGGATATGAAGGGTAAACAAAGGAGGAGGCTCCAATGCTTGATAAGAAATGTACTCATTATCTTGCCCATGTAATTGTAACCCCTCTGTACAGTATGTTCACAATAA